CTCCCTCCCCCTGCCTCTCCTTGCTTGCCTCTCCTTCCTGAAGAGCCTATAGCCACCCATTGCAGCACTCAAGTTGTGCGAGTCATCCCACCACGTTTCTGTGATGGTGACTACATCATAATTATCCTGCTGTACAATGGCTTCCAGCTCCTCCTGTTTGTTGCCCATGCTATGTGCATTAGTGTATAAGCACTTCAGCTGGGCTATTGGTCTTTCTCCTTTTTACTGGAGGAAGCCGTAATTCTGCCACCCCCAGACTTATTCCTAAGGAGCCCGGTTACACCCCCTTTCTTTTCCAAATCTAGTGCCAGCATGCTGCTTTCAGGCTTTTTGCTAGCAAGCTCAGATCTATCCCCATCCCCCTTCAAATCTAGTTTAAAGCTCTGAATCTAGTTTAAAGCTCTGTTAATGATGTTACTTTTTGTGGTTAGTACAATATTTTAAAAGTAAATGCTTAGAAATGCAGGTGAAATTCTCTTTCAAAGACTGTGATTCTGAACGACCAGATCAAAGATGGATTGAAGCTGCTTGTCTGAATAGAGTAATTTTAACTTTGATTGTTTTTCAGCTGACTACTGAGGTACAGATGATGACAGCTGGTATGAAGTTGTCTGAATCAGTGATACTAGAATGCAAATACATGCCAATACTTAGCATAAAATCCACAAAGCACAGCTATTTCTGCATTCTGCCTTTTGACATCTCAGCACGCATGTCGACTTGAATTGGCACCCCCTCTTTTTGATTTTCTGGTATCAAAATTAAATGGAAAGCTAAGAACAGAATATAAAATCAGACACAGCTACCCAAAAAAGAGGGCAATGGTGAACAAAGAAGATCTTTTTGTAACTGAAGTTAAATATTTAATTCTAACAAACAAAGGAATGTTGCTGTACCTGAGTTCATAGTTGTCCAAAGGGATGCCTGTCATCCTGGGGATAGTTCGGAACATACTAAAAAGAAAAATCAAAGACTGAAGAGTAACCTGATAAATATTTGTAATCTGGTTGTCTTGCCAGGTGGCAAAGGCTGACTAATTGGGAGCACACCATTTTATTGGATGCGTATTTAGAGTTGACTAGTCTACATGTCATTCTAAATGCAATTTGTAGAAATTGTATATTTTGATGAAAATGATACATTTTCAACAGATTGCACAGGGTTTTAGCCAACCAGCTCATTTACTCAGAACTATGAATCAAACTTCACTGCAAAGCTTTGAAAAATCAATCACCTCCAAACTCTCTCAAGATGGTTTAATGTGAATAGTTTTGTGAAAATCATGACTCTAAATGACATAATTCTAAATCACTGTGGCTAAGAAATTACAATTAGGAGTAATCAATGTTTTGAAAAAGAACCTAAGTGCAAAGGAACCATTCAAACCAATTGCCTTTATGGTTGTATCTATAAGAGCAATGCAGCAGGAAAAGAGATTACATTGTTAATCACAGATTATTTGCCTTGATTAGAAAAAGAAATGCAATAATAAGACTTGAACCAATAACATATTTGTACTAGATTTAGCTGTGAGAAACTTCCTCCTCTGTCACAGTAGGATGGGCATACCTATGAATGGCCAAAACAGCAACTATAATAGAAACCAGAGAAGTGGTACTAAGTTGAAAAAAATGTTTAGTCCAAAATGGATTTGTACAACATTTCATTCCTCTTGTGTTTTTAAGCAAGTTTTGAGAGTGTGACTAGAATTCTTAGGACAGAAGCTAATGTAATGCTATCTGTGCCTTTCACAGCCAGCAACCACTGGCTACTGAGAAAACATGTGTGACTTACTCACTATGCCATATGGTTCATAATCTCAACATCACAAATTGTTCTGGTTTTGAGAGGAAGCATTTTGAAACACTGTGGGATAGAACATGAAGCGGAGAGAGAGAAATAGAGAAGTGTGCTATGGATTGTCTCACTAAAAACAGAAACACAACTATAGGCTTTACAGAACCCATCAGCGCCCAACTACAAACAGGACAAGAGCGGGAGGAGACAAAAACCTACATCTTCCCTTTTTTACCAGCACGAACCCTCATACTCACAATGCACTGTTTCAGAAGACAGCAATGTTGTGTGCGGTTGATTAAAGAAAGACACATAGCAGGGCCGACAGCAACACAGCTCCAAGTTGGGTTAAAACGCAAAAACTGTTCCTATGTAACTGACTCAACACCAGTGTGGCTCTCTGAAAACTATGAGGTGAAAAGCAACAGGAGTAACAGTAAAATAAAACTGAAGAAAGACTTTAATTCCTTTCACTCTCTGAAGACACTATGACTACAAAGCGTGTGGGTACGTGTGCAGGTATGCGTGTACAGCCAGGTGGAAAAACATTTACTTGAATCTCCAAATTCACTGTATAATAATGATGTTAACAACTCTCCCACTGCTTCACACCTCAGAACAATTTAAATATAAGGCAGCTAGACTTCTTTACCTTTGAAATTTAATTTGCTATTTCTAGAATTCTTAAAAGTTTCTCCTTCCTATATTCTCTCTGGTAACCTATTTAGCTGTACAAAGAGTATGATGTATGAGAATAAATAATGCTTGCTTCACAGAAAGTGAGATAGAGCCTAATGAGAATGTTAGAGTATTGCCTGAAATTGGTTTCAGATGTATGAGCTTGCTCGTTGGAAAAGCGTAAACACCTGTGGGTAAAACAGACCTCAAATTAAAGTCCTCACCATTACTCCCTATGCCTGTCCCACTTTCTGGACAGACACCAAAATGTCTTGTCTGGACCCAAGCCATGGACGCCATTAGATTTCTAACCTGGTCTGATTTGTGGAGTTCATCGTTCAAAGCTCTAGATTTTTTTTCCCCAGATCTTTTTGTTTAGCGCACACCTGGGTGCTGAAGCTCATTGTTACCCTGAACTTTGCTGAAAACAAAGTGCCGAGAGACAATTGAGAGGGCTTTGGGTAGCCAAGATGTCTGTCTGGGAGAGCAGATATGACACAGGGCCTCAGAAAAGACCCACATCTTCTGAAGCAGCAACTGGTAGCTAGGGTGAATGCCCTACAGCTGCTCCACAGCTAAAATAACACTAAATGCCCAGGTTTAGGCAATTGAATGTCACTCCCCACGTCTGATAACACTCTTTAGCAGGGAGACCTCAGTTGTCTCACCTAAATCCTGGGATTAATGTCTTACCCAGGAGAACTTCTAATCATTTAGACACATTTTCTCCCCTACTAGAAGTACAATCAAAATGAGCTAAGGGTCCTAACATCTCCATTTTATATGAGGCTCAGGAGGTTCACTGTGATTTAGACGTCAGCTAATTTCCTGGACCAAACATCTCCACTACATAGATGGTTCAATGATCAGGGAAAAGTGATATGCACAAACTGGAAGACCTTTTGGTGCTGTAGTTCCTAAAGAGCACTGCAGCACTTCCAAAGCAACCTTGCTGATTTACTTTCCTTCCAAATAGAATCTGTTTCACACGTACCACAACTGTCCTCAGAACTGAACTAATACACAGTAAATTGAGAAAATCAAGGGATTTGTTTCAAAACTGTGTTACTGCTTTGAACCAAGTTGCTAATGTAGACCCAATTACCTTGTATGTTCAAAACTTAGATTTGGCCCAGGGCTACTAGGCCAGACCACTTTTATAGTTTTATCAGCTCCACTGCTTTGTAAAATAGCTTCCATGGTTTAGAAAGCATTATATTAACAAAAAAAAAAACAACAAACCAAAACCAAACCACACCCTCTCCTGCCTTTACTTGCCTTTGTATATCACTTGAGGAATTTCCAGGCTCCAAATCTCCATGGGCAACTGGCAGAATGGCCACTACTTGCCATTTCATAGTTTCATGACTGCATTTCAAGTTCCTGGTACAGTACAAGTATTCAAAAAAACCCAAACAGG